TTAAATTATTCTAAAATAAAACTGTCCACCAAAGTGCAGGGAAATGTGCTATCGGAAAGCAATGCACCTAAAATAAAGTGTGCATAGTAAATATTGCAAGTGTAATTTCATAATTGATTCCTTTTTGATTTTAAGATTGTGAGAAGTACCTTTAAGTCACAATTTGCACAGCTGCTTAATAATAATGTGTATTTGACTTATGTATATATTTTTCTTACATATAGAAAAAGATAAAGTATTAATTTTTTTTTTAATTTTACCAGATTAAGATTGGCAATAGATCCGACCTTGTAAAATAATTTTAGCTTATTCATTACTTACTTGCGTACAACCACCTATATACTGCTCGATAAAAGAAATTGAGATTTCGTTATTTTGTCCGATTTTTTCAGTGCAACATCGGTAATGATTGATACGTTTTTTCACTAAGCTAAATTTTGTGTATTTTTGTATATCGACATCTGAGTGGAAGATCGACCTATCTCAGCAGGCAGTTTGAAAACTCCATATCTCAGAAAACTTTTCAAGAACGCCTATTTCAGAAAACTTTTCGAACCAGCTGCCGAGATAGGTCGATCTTCAACTCAGGTGTCGTTATCCAATATACGGAATGACCGTATCGTCGTGTAAAATCGTAAAGCATCCTACTATCAGGCAATTAATTTAGTAAAAAATATTAGTTCTAAAAATCAAATTCATAGTCTTAGCAGTCCCGCACATTCCCATGGGTATGTACTTTATTGAAGTTTTCGCTCGAACTCCGTGAATTGGCCATCGTCCGTCCGCAACATTGATGGCTGTGGTGGGCTTTGCCGTATATTGTATTCAATACTTTTATACAGAGGCCGATTGTATTCTATTGCTCTTATATGTTCACTGTAATCGAGTAGTGGACGTTGTTGTGCCATGTTTCGTTTCATAAATACATCTTTCCATATCATCGCCAACAACACGTAAAAGCCTCCAACAATCTTAGTTGCCATTTCGATTAACTTTAGTATGATTGGTGTCATTATATGTGTAAAACGCGTAAATTCAAACATGAAGTGCAACGCGAAGGTGCCCAAATATTTAATAGCTTCAAAACTGCCGGTCAATAGAGAGACCACAACTAAGCCCAGAAATTGTAAAAACCCCTTTATGTTGTCTTTGTTTATATCGTTCGAAATAAAATCGTAAACAGATTGTTTTATGCTTGTGCCCCAGTCACGTACCACCTCGACAAAATCTTCATAACCGATCTGATTTCCTTCCTTTGACCCTTTATCAGACGTGTTCGGCATCCCCTCATCAGGTTGTGATGGGTTATTTGATTTTTTCTCTGCATCTTCAATTAAAACTTCCGGTTTTGAGTTTCCACTGTCGGGCTTTAAGGCAGGTGTAGAAGGTTGGAACGAAGGTACTTTTTCGGTTAGCGGCTCGGCCTCAACAGCGCGTACTATTTTTAACTTTAATAGTACCTCGTTTTTACGAAATCGCACACTTTTAACAAGAAACCAATACTGTGCGAAGGCAGCTTCTTGTAGTTGCAGCCAAATGTGTGTGTCTAGCGTGTACTTCTTTGGCATAACGCCCATACAATCGCCATGTGTTATTCCAATCCACACATGTGGCGAATGCTGATAGAAAAGTTGCAATTTGCATTTAATGTCCAGCAATAAACGCTCGAACTCTCGCTCACTTCGATGGAGCCCAATAATGTCGCGATAATCACTTACTGCATCCACGAACCGACGCTCTTCATAGTAGCCGCGAAAAATTTTAGATTTCAACAATTGCTTGCAAAGTGACTGCATTGCCTCCTCTTGTGGGCTAATTTGTTGCAGCAAAGGTTCTTTGTATCCCATTATGTATTTGTATTGCTACCTAAAAGAATGAAGACTGAAGCGTGAATAATGGTTTAGAAAGTTACCTTTGACCTTGAGAAATAAAACTTACTGCTTATAGTTGCTTCAAAACTGCAAGTGTTAACTGACCACCGCCAGCAAGATTATCAAAGAAGTAGTGGACTTTGATTTGCGTGCTCTTAATTGCTTTTAATAAATTCTATTTTGCCAGCCTTTGTTTGATGAATGCAACGAGCACCTATGGACAGATCTGCATAACAAATGACACAAACATTACATTCTTTAGTACCATTGGAACTTAAAGATTTGGGCATTTGCCGACGACTTCGCAATTTATTTTCCTATTTAATTGTCTAAAGTTAGCGTGTTTACTAAAAATTTGCTAAATAAAATGCAACAGAATTGTAATTTTATTCTGAATAAAAACAGCAGCTGATTTATAGAGTTGCCAGAAGTGTAATAAGTGTGGTAATAAGTTTGCAGATTTGGTAGGTAAAATTCGTTGTAATTGTGGCCGCAATTTCGTTCGCTATTTCTTCGATGGAAATGACAAAACATGCAATTCAAATAAAGAGCGAAATACACCACACAAGCGGTTTGACAAACCAAGCGAAATTTCCCTTTGCTTCAAGCCATTTGTGCTGTGTATGGGGGTGTTTGAAGGTTTGACGGCGGTTTGTCAAACCTTCAAACACCCCCATACACAGCACAAATGGCTTGAAGCAAAGGGAAATTTCGCTTGGTTTGTCAAACCGCTTGTGTGGTGTATTTCGCTCTT